TTACTTTACTACACTCTTGTTCTCTTTGTACGTTTCATCCTCCAATACCCCCCTAAGCTGGATGGTGTGTAAGTTTTGCACACCCAGCTTAGAAACAAACAAGGCAAACTGTGATGTTGGAAGAGCTTTAGTGAATCCATCAGCAATTTGGCTTGAAGAGGGAATATATAGTAACTTAACCAGTCCTTGAGCTACCTTATCCCGCACAATATGACAGTCGATCTCGATATGTTTCGTCTTCTCATGGAAGACGTGGTTTTCTGCGATGGCCATGGCGGATTTATTATCACAAAAGAGCGTTGACGGCCTTTCCAAGTCCGCCTGTAAGTCTTTAAGAATAAAGTTAATTCATTAGACGTCGCACACAGTGGCGGCTAGAGCTCCATATTTTGCTTCGGAGGATGAACGAGATACCGTAGCCTGTTTCTTTGATCGCCAAGAGACAAAGGCCTTTCCAAGGAATACACAAAAACCAGTAATGGACTTGCGTGTAGTTGAGCATGTTACCCAATCTGAATCAGAGAACACATTGAGCTGCATGTGATCTCCCTTTGGATAGAATATTCCTTGTCTAGGTGCTCTTTTAATGTATCGCAGAACATGATGAGCAGCAGACATATGTGTGCTCGTGAGAACATCGACAAACTGGCTCAATTGTTGTACTGCATAGGAGATTTCTGGACGTGTTGCCGTGAGGTATAGTAGTCGCCCAACTAATTGTCTGTAGCTTCCAGGATCACTCAGAGCCACACCGTCTCCTTTGTCTAAACGTTGCCCTGTGATCATAGGTGTACTCGCAGGCTTGCAGCTTAGAAATCTAGATTCATGGAGGATATCTAAGGCGTACTTGCGCTGGCACAAGTTCAATCCCAAGCTTCCCATGTGTGCTTCTATGCCCAAAAAATATCCCAGAGTGCCTAGATCTTTGATTTTAAATGCATTTTCAAGGTAGAGTTTCAGTTCTTGAATGAGATTGATGTTGGGGCTGGTGACAAGGATGTCATCTACTTAAACAAGCAAAGCCACATAACTTGAACCTCTGCCTTTTGTGAATAGGGAGGAGTCTACTTTGGACTGATCAAATCCCATTCGCAAAAGAGCAGTAAATAACTTTTGCATTCCACTATCGGCTCGCCTGCTTGAGACCATAAAGAGAACACAAAAGTCTGCACACTTGATTTGGCTTTTCTCCTTGAAAGCCGGGGGGCAACGCCATGTACACTTCTTCATTTAAATCTCCGTGAAGGAAGGCGTTGTTGATGTCTAGTTCATGGATATGCCAAGAACGAGAAGCAGCAACCGCTAAAAAAATGCGAATTGTGGTGAGTCTAGCAACTGTGAGAAAGTCTCAATGTAGTCAATCGCCAATTGTTGTGTGTAGCCTTTGGCTACTAACCTCGCCTTATATCTTTCGACTAAATCGTCAGCCTTCATTTTGATTTTGTACACCCACTTGCAACCTATCGGTGTTTTCCCGAGAGGTAAGTCGGATAATTCCCATGTTTCATTTTCCTGTAGGGCCTTAATTTCAGCCTCCAGTGCCTCCTTCCAACAGTCATGTTGTATGGCTTCTTTGTATGTACGTGGTTCCTCAATGGATGTGATGGCCATAGAAAGAACTTTATGTGGCAGAGTTAAGCAGTCATAGGATATAACATTTGATAATGGACGTGGGGATGATACCTTCTTTGTGACTGAATCACAGTAGTAATCAAGTAATCTGGTGGGATCATATCTGTTTCGAACTAATCTTCTGGACTGTGGAACAGAACTGGTGGAGTGATTAGGGGATGCTGGTGGTGATGAGCCAGACTGATGAGAAATGGCCTCAGTATTGAGACTGCCACTACAGTGTTGTTGGGGACTGAATAACGGTTGTGAAGTAGAGCCATGCTGTGAAGCAGTATCATTAAGAATATGTTGGTCATAATCTTCATAAGCTAGATGAGTGTAGATAGGAATATTAGGAATATCAGGTCAAGGGGTTGTTATTTCTGTTGTATTTGAAGCCTCTGCAAATTGAAATTGGGCTTCATAAAAAACGACATCCCTTGAGATAAAAATGACTTAAAACCCAAAATTGTCCTCGACTATAGTGGTTTTTCTCAATTTCGTCCTAAACGACTTTGGTGACCTAATATAGTCCCAGACTTTTGTGTTTCGCTCAATTTAGTCCTCCGTTTGTTATTCCATCAAATTGGTGTTAAATAAATGGACAATTCAATAATATCAATATTGACCTCTCTTTACTTTCAACCTGCGAAGTGAGAAATCTCTCTTTCTTACACGAATTACACCCAGAGTTACTCTCAGACCTACGAATCAAATTTTATATTTGCAGCTTTAGAAGTGATTCTGGGAGTAATTCGTAAAAAAAGAGAGATTTCGCACTTCACATGTCTACGAATAAAGAGATGCCAATATTAAAATTACTGAATTATCTATTTATTTAACAACAATTGGACGGAATAACAAATGAGGGACTAAATTGAGCAAAAACACAAAAGTCTGGGACGAAATTGAGTAAAAACACAAAACTCTGGGACTACATTAAGTCACCAAAGTCGTTTAGGACAAAATTGAGAAAACCACTATATTCGAAGACGATTTTGGGTATTAACTCAGATAAAAATAGTCTTTGTATCCATGTCATACAGAAGATATCCTTTGACATCTGCTGACATGCCTATAAACACACATTTCCTTCCTCTTGGGGCCATCTTATGCCTTGCATGTGGTAGAGTAGTTGCGTAGCAAAGACATCCAAGGACTCTCAAATTGTTTATATCAGGGTCTTTACCATACAACCTTCGATAGGGACTTGAGCAATTTATGACTGGTGAAGGAATTCGGTTTGTAAGGAACACCGCATGCATAACACACTGTCCCCAGAATTCTAGGGGAAGATGTGCTTGAAATATGAGAGCTTAGGCAACATTCAAGATGTGTTGATGCTTCCGTTCAACTATGGCATTCTGTTGAGGCGTGTTTATACAAGACCGCTGGTGAACAATACCTTTCTCAGCAAAAAAATCATCCATCTTGAACTCATTGCCATTATCACTTCGGATGGTTTCGATCATGGTCCCAAATTGAGTAAGAACAAAATTATCAAATTTCTTTATGAAGGGTCTTGTTTCGGACTTGTTCTTCATCATATGCAGCCAGGTGAATCTGGAATGATCATCTACTACCGTTAGAAAGTAGCGTTCCCGATTATTATTAGTAATGGTTAAACCAAGTATTAAATTAGTTTGTTATGAATAATGCATGGATGCAGTAGGTGGGTTATGCATGGTATCACTACATAGATTGTGGCCTTAATTGTAGCTTTACATGAAGCATTACTCCTAATCTTTAGCTTTATTAGTGGTTATCTTTTAGTATAAATATGTTAGTATTGTTCATTCATTAATCATCAATTCAAAGAGTTATTTTTCCTCTCTCTCTCTCTCTCTCTCTTCTCAATATATAAATATAATATATAAATATATTATATTTAATATATATTATAGATATATTATATTATATTTAATATATATTATATTAAATATATTATATATTTTTTTTGAAAATAAATATATTATATTTAATATATCTAACATTTGGTATCAGAGCCAGTAAACCTTTCAACCCCGAGATATTTCCCGTAGTGAAATATGGTTGCAAATTTCAATATTGTATGGACGGGTCCCAAATTGGACGGGAAACTCGATACAATTATTGGCAAATTATGATGTCCACACATTTGCAAGCTCAAAATCTTTGGAGCTTTGTTGATCCCGGTCTACAAGAAGGAGCTGAAGCAGGCACTATACGGCGAGATAAATTGGCCTTGGGTCAGATTCACCAAGGTGTTCATTATTCCATTTTTGGGCAATTAGCTCGTGCTCAAACAGCAAAACAAGCTTGGGACATCTTAAAGGTGTCACAGAAAGGAGTTGATCGGGCGCAGAAGTCTAAGTTGCAGTCGTTGAGAAGGTTGTACGATAATTGTGAGATGACCTCTACAGAAACAGTAGATGCGTATTTCACTCGTCTTATTGATATGGTGAATAAGATGAGGTTATACGGAGATACGATTGAAGATGGTGCAGTGGTTGAAAAAGTTCTACGAACTATGCCGATGAAGTATGACCATGTGGTGGCTTCAATAACAGAGTCACACAAAACCGAGCTCTTATCAATTGCAGAGCTGAAAGGTATGGTAGAAAGTCATATTGACAGGATTGCGTCAAAATCGGAATCACTAGCAGAAGAAGCTTTGAAGAGCCAAGTCACCCTTAATGTGACTGGCACTAATCAAAGAGGTGGAGGATCTGGTAGAGGTCGTGGAAGAGGAAGAGGAGGTTCTAGTGGAAGAGGTCGTGGTAACTTCAACCAAGGAGGAGGACGTGGTAACTCCAACCAAGGAAGAGGTGGAGGTAATACCAAACAAGGTAAATTTCCATTTCATTGCTACAATTGTGGCAAGTATGGGCACAAGATTGCAGATTGTTGGTATAATGAGGACAACAATCGTGGAAATCAAGCAAACATTGCTGAAAATACTGCTGAAAAGTCTGGTGAGAATTCTGAAACCTTACTTTTGGCCAGTGATAGTTTTTCTGCAGATAAAAACATATGGTTCTTGGATACTAGGTGTAGTAACCATATGTGTGGTAAGAAAGAATTGTTTTCTGAACTGGATGAATCAATCCGGTCTGAAGTGACATTTGGCAATAAGTCAAAGGTGCCAATTTTGGGAAAAGGTAAAATCTCTATTCAGTTGAAGGATGGTACTCACAATTTTATATCCGATGTGTTCTATGTTCCTGAACTACACCAAAATTTGTTGAGTTTGGGTCAGTTGTCAGAAAAAGGATATAAGATACATATTGCTCAAGGGTGTTGTACCATTGAAGATGCTAAAGGAGTTTTGATTGCAAAGGTAAATATGTCCCAAAATCGACTATTTCCTTTGAAAATTAAGCATACTCTCCTTGATTGCTTTAATTCTGAAGTTTGTGATGATAATTGGTTATGGCATATGCGGTTTGGGCATTTTCATTTCTCTGGATTAAACTATCTTGCGAGAAAGGAACTTGTTTCTGATTTACCTGTTGTGAATGTCCCTGATCGTATCTGTGAGATTTGTGTGATTGGGAAGAAGCATAGAGATCCCTTTCCCGTGGGCAAGTCAAGGAGAGATACAAAACAGTTGGAGATTGTTCACTCAGGCCTGTGTTCGTTGGAGATTCCTTCACATGGAGGTTGTAAGTACTTTATTACTTTCGTTGATGATTTCAGTAGAAAAACATGGGTTTACTTTCTGAAGCAAAAGTCTGAAGCATGTGATGTTTTCAAACAATTTAAGGCTTTTGTTGAAAAGCAGAGTGGTTATGAGATTAAAATCTTGAGAACTGATAGAGGTACAGAATATATTGCCTGTGATGATTTTATGAAAAAGAAGGGTATTCAACATCAGATGACAGCTAGATACACTCCACAACAAAACGGAGTGGCTGAGAGGAAGAATAGGTCTATCATGGATATGGTAAGGTGCATGTTGAAATCCTAGGATCTGCCTAAGCCTTTTTGGGCAGAAGCTGTTGCTTGTGCTGTCTATGTGTTGAATAGGTGTCCAACTAAAAGTGTCCATGATAAGACACCCGAAGAAGCTTGGAGTGGGAGAAAACCCTCTATCAAATATCTCAAGGTTTTTGGATGTTTGGCATATGCACATGTGCCAGATCCATTGAGAAAGAAGTTGGATGATAAAGGTGAGAAATGCATATTCATTGGTCATAGTGACGCTTCAAAGGCTTATAAACTATACAATCCTGAAACTAAAAAGGTTGTTTTAAGTCGTGATGTCACTTTTGATTAATATGGTGCTTGGG